TATGTCTATTACCAGGTTTTGGACAAGAGATTTTTGAGTGTTTGCTGCTCTAACAACAGGGAAAATGTACTCTACATTGAAATCACAACAGAATCAACAGCTGCAATCACCATGTTGGGAACCATGTGTAGGCCAAGGCTAGCCATCATGCCATCCTGGTTTCCCACCAACTGTACCATACACGTGTCACAGTTTAACCTTAAAACGCTGTACCATTCTCCTCTCTGTCTCCTCTCAGACATGCAACATAGGAGGCAACATGAGGTCCTAATATGTCTAACATTCCAGGCCTTATTCTCCCTTAATGGAAACCGCTTAACAAAGTCAACCCGACGGTTCGGAGTGGAGAGCCTACCGGCAGACTGAGGCTATAATTGATGGACACTTGGCATGCTCGGTGCGCCTGGCGATTTGTCGAATCCATAAAAAGAGATGTCGAGGTAATTATGTTTGTCATGATATATTGAAAGCAGGAATGGGCGAGCTAATCAGAATACCTGACAGCTGTAGCGTGCAGATGCTAATCAGACCTCTTGTCCACGGCGATAAAATGAAAGCGGGTCATTTTAACAGGTAACAGCTGTTCGTGGCTAATTTGTTCAATTACGCGCAGAGGTTGTTTCTGGGGCCCTAAGGGACTTCCACTCCTCCTAGATGTTCTTTCTTTCTTCCTTCCCTCTCTCTTGCTCTCTCTTTCTGAGAACAAACAGAGAGAAAATCCACAGCGACTTAGCATTCTAAGCATGCAGCAGCAAGGGACGGCCCAGTTGATGACACTCTATTGATGTTTTTGTTGTTTCTATGATGGTAGCTCAGGTTGAGCAACCATCAAGAAGACATATGTATGTTTTGCAGTGCAACTGTGTTAATAAAAGGACACCATGAATATAAATCCCTTGAGGACTTCGTTTTTTTAGAATGTGAAGATGTAAAACTGCTAGTGTGTGTACAGTCCTCATCTTAACTGATGTCAAAACCATGTAAAGTTTATTTGAGATACGGCAAGTGTGTTTATTTGTTTGTCTCTGTTACGTAGCATAAAGTCAGTGTGTGTTCTTGGGATGCAGACTGTACGAGCAGGTGTTCCCTCCATTCCTATCCCTCCCTTGAGGCAATGACGAACATCAAAGCCTGCGACATTGAAGCTCTGAGCCCTCTCTCTCTCAATCCCTTGGCTATGATCAGTACGTATGATATATCAATTTCATAGTGCTAGTGCTAATCTCACAGGAGGTGTGTGTGTGTACATGTGTGGTATGCACGCATGTGTGTGTACTAAAGACTATCGCTGTCTAATCCTCTCCCACTGATAAAGAACTGCTCTATGGATGAGAGTCATCAGTAGGGATCTATCCAAACAAACTAGTCTCTCTCTCGCTCAGTCCCGCTGCTCAGAGGGATTTGGCTCCTTGGTGATTCAACCTGCTAATGTATTTCTGTCAGTCAGGATGCTCTCTCCCATATGTCTCACCCAGCATTCATTGAGAAGTCCTGGCCAATGAGGTTAGATACGTAAAAGGTAATATGTATGATTACTCAGAAAGGATGAACATACAGTGGGGGAAAAAAGTATTTAGTCAGCCACCAATTGTGCAAGTTCTCCCACTTAAAAAGATGAGGCCTGTAATTTTCATCATAGGTACAAGTCAACTATGACAGACAAATTGAGGGAAAAAATCCAGAAAATCACATTGTAGGATTTTTAATGAATTTATTTGCAAATGATGGTGGAAAATAAGTATTTGGTCACCTACAAACAAGCAAGATTTCTGGCTCTCACAGACCTGTAACTTCTTCTTTAAGAGGCTCCTCTGTCCTCCACTCATTACCTGTATTAATGGCACCTGTTTGAACTTGTTATCAGTATAAAAGACACCTGTCCACAACCTCAAACAGTCACACTCCAAACTCCACTATGGCCAAGACCAAAGAGCTGTCAAAGGACACCAGAAACAAAATTGTAGACCTGCACCAGGCTGGGAAGACTGAATCTGCAATAGGTAAGCAGCTTGGTTTGAAGAAATCAACTGTGGGAGCAATTATTAGGAAATGGAAGACATACAAGACCACTGATAATCTCCCTCGATCTGGGGCTCCACGCAAGTTCTCACCCCATGGGGTCAAAATGATCACAAGAACGGTGAGCAAAAATCCCAGAACCACACGGGGGGACCTAGTGAATGACCTGCAGAGAGCTGGGACCAAAGTAACAAAGCCTACCATCAGTAACACACTACGCCGCCAGGGACTCAAATCCTGCAGTGCCAGACGTGTCCCCCTGCTTAAGCCAGTACATGTCCAGGCCCGTCTGAAGTTTGCTAGAGTGCATTTGGATGATCCAGAAGAGGATTGGGAGAATGCCATATGGTCAGATGAAACCAAAATATAACTTTTTGGTAAAAACTCAACTTGTCGTGTTTGGAGGACAAAGAATGCTGAGTTGCACCATACCTACTGTGAAGCATGGGGGTGGAAACATCATGCTTTGGGGCTGTTTTTCTGCAAAGGGACCAGGACGACTGATCCGTGTAAAGGAAAGAATGAATGGGGCCATGTATCGTGAGATTTTGAGTGAAAACCTCCTTCCATCAGCAAGGGCATTGAAGATGAAACGTGGCTGGGTCTTTCAGCATGACAATGTTCCCAAACACACCGCCCGGGCAACGAAGGAGTGGCTTCGTAAGAAGCATTTCAAGGTCCTGGAGTGGCCTAGCCAGTCTCCAGATCTCAACCCCATAGAAAATCTTTGGAGGGAGTTGAAAGTCCGTGTTGCCCAGCGACAGCCCCAAAACATCACTGCTCTAGAGGAGATCTGCATGGAGGAATGGGCCAAAATACCAGCAACAGTGTGTGAAAACCTTGTGAAGACTTACAGAAAACGTTTGACCTGTGTCATTGCCAACAAAGGGTATATAACAAAGTATTGAGAAACTTTTGTTATTGACCAAATACTTATTTTCCACCATAATTTGCAAATAAATTCATTAAAAATCCTACTATGTGATTTTCTGGAATTTTATTTCTCATTTTGTCTGTATTTGTATTAGGGTAGACTTCAATGCTATTCTTGTAAGGGATATAGACTGGATGAAGACACAGGGTTTCACAGGCACCTACTGTCTGCAGAGTGAACAGAATCAAACAACTCCATAAACCTCATATCCACACTGTCTGAAACAGGGACATGACTTGGTGTGCTTTCCTGTGAGCCCTCGCTGAGCTGCCCAACTCTGTGTGTGTGGGAGTAATCCAGCGGTGTGTACCTACAGATCAACAGCCTGCATTCTCAAGTCAGTGGAGCCGGAGTACAGCCAGGAGACATGACTCCTGGTGCTGCTTGGCTTGCTCATAAAATCTCCTATCAGTCTGGCAGCCTAAGCTTATATTTGTTGCTGTTGTTACTGTGCTAGGTGGAGGGTTGGGAAACTGACGGTATGCTCCGAAGGCTACTGTGCTGATAGAGGCATATGCAGGGGTGGAATGGGAAAAAAATCACTCTAGGAAATGACCAGTCATATCCACAGGCATTCAGCTTATAAACATTTTTGTATCATCTCAAAATGCTCCCCATGGGATTTTCACTTTGTGAACTGAACTCCAGTCACATTTGAGTGTGACTTTGGCTCTATTGGCTCTATTGACTTGGACCATGTCCACGTGCTAGCCGGAACTAGGAAACTCTGAAATGTCCGACTTGCGAACTGGTTGAATGCGGCACGTGTATAACTACAACCAGTTAGCAAGTTGGACATTTTTGAGTTTCCTACTTCCGACTAGTATTACATTAAGGCGGCAATATCGATCTTACTCCCAAAGACGCCACGCAAATGGATGTGGTTTTCTGAGATTGACCACAGTTTGAGGGATGTAGAGATTTAGTGATACAATAGTGCCCTCCTCTGAGAGAACTATGTACTGCACTTTAAATAAGGAACAGTTTTAAAAAAAACAACCCTCATCATATCATTGTAGCCCATCTGTCTCTGGGTTAATACAGTAGGTAGCCAATGTATAAGACAAACTATAAATGCAGGCATTGGGAAGGGTTTAAGCAAGATCCACCCACTGTGCCCAGGCAGAAAGACATACAGCACATCATCACTTATTTTTCACTTTTTAATGAAGGAGATCATTCGCTCTCAATCCTCTATAAACAATCACCATTAAACATCTTTCTTTCAATTAGAGTATTTACATATTAACAAGTGGCTGTGCAAAATGTATATTATATTTACAGAATATACTTCAGTTTTTCACTGAAAACTGTGTTCTATGATAGAAAATGGACAGAGGGAAAGGTGTGTAACAGTTGCCAGGGGCGATGGTATAAAAACATATCAATACTGATTGATTAGCAGAGAGAAAAATAATGTTGAGAAGAGAGAATTCATCTTCTATTGATAGACCTAACAAAAGGCCAACTGAAGTATGTACAGTTAGAAAGGTTTCATCAATATACATTATTTCATACACTACCATCCAAAACCTTAAGAAACAACCAATTAGTATGTGCATTCAAAAATATATTTAAAAAAAATATATATATATATATAAAGTGGGTGTATCCCTCTGACCGACGGCTTGATTAAAAAACAGTCGGGGGGTGCAGTCCGTATTCAGTCTATTTTCTGCATTCTATCACACAATCATAAATAGGCTATCTATTGTCAACTTTGCCTCAACGTCTCAGTCTCACTTTGCATTGTTGCATCAACAATTAAATTACTGTAAATTATTTTACATGCCTCTTTTGAAAATAAAACTATTCATAAACCTGTTAATGTTTATCCTCCACCCCCCCCCCCCCCCCCCACAGTCTACTGGTAAAAACATATAATAATAATAATAATAATATGCCATTTAGCAGACGCTTTTATCCAAAGCGACTTACAGTCGTGCGTGCATACATTTTTGTGTATGGGTGGTCCCGGGGATCGAACCCACTACTTGGCTGTTAAATCAAGCCCTGATTCAAACAAGTCAAAACAAGAGCACCACGGAAGAGATTACTTTACAGAATAAACAAGCCTAAAACTGTGGACGATTTCCTGATGTTACAATCAACATAATACGTGTGAGCGAGTCGTCGTTCATGTATTATCTTTCTAGAAGTGTGACATGTCAATACTTATTTGAACAAGTCAACTCAAAGCAAAAGTAATCAAAACGTAAAAAAAAAGCCAGCAAATAGCATGAGAATTTACTGATAACAATAGGGGACTATTAAAAGTTCCCCAACGAAAGGCGTCTGATTTTGCTTATTTTGGATTGACGCACTCACAACACGTTGTTACATTTCGTTAAAAAACTCAAAAGGCAATAGTCCTTTAATAATGTCTAATCAAATAGGCCATAAATGTTCCAACAAAAGGCCCAGAGTTTCTGTATCGTCAGGGATTTGACGTTATTACTGCAGTTTTGTACATTTGTTCGTTAACCGTGTTAAAAGGGTCCTCCTCACTGGGGTCCTTTATAAATGTCTAATCATATAGGCCTCTTGCATGAGGTTAAAGGATGCAAAAGCTATGTACCTACTGTGAATGAGGATGTTTCCAGACCCAAAGGAGACCTCACAAATAGGAGAATTTCCCCTCCAGGGCACCAGGTGGCAGTTTATGGGAGGGGACCAGGTTGCCAGTAGCTGGTCCCTACAGAAGTGTGAGAGGCGCTAGTCAGAGGTCAGTCCCACCACCTCACCTGGTCTCTCTTTGAGGAGGGCGTGTAGGGCTCGGCTGAATATTAATACTCCAGGTGCCGCTGGTCTGCCTTTCCCCCAGGAGGTCATGATTGTAGGAGAGCACAGAAGAGGAGGTGCCGCCATCAAGTGTAGCTGGTCCATTTGGCCCTATAAGAGAGGTACTATTGGGAGTGGCTGGTTTCTCTTATCTGTTGGGGAGGTTATTGGAGACTGCGTCAGGTGCATCAGAGTGACTGGTTTCTCTCAATGTCTTGTCTCTCTGGAATTGTTACTGGGCCAGACTGGTCTCTGTGTGTTATTTGAGGAAGCCTTTGTAGAGCAGGTGTGAGCTGCTGGTTTCCCTTTCATTCTCCAGACAGAAGAGCAGGTCCCTGAGGTTGACCCTGGTGATGCGCTGGCGCTGAGGTCTGGAGCCTCCGCTACTGGACCCACCTGACGAAGAGGGACCAGAGCCAGAGCCCTACAGAGAGGGAGGAGGGAGGGGGAGACGGAGAAAGGAAAGTTCATGTTGATCTTCAATAACCAAAGAATTTGGTTCGCTTTGTTAAGCGCAATACATAGTCAACGATCGAGCCCAGAGTACTGGTCTATGTTTGGTTATGATCCTCTACCTCAGCCCCGGCTCCGCTGACAGGGGAGTCCATTTTCCGTTTCTTCCTGGGGCCGATGGCTGCCAGGGCCGTCATGTTGGCCTCCTTCTGCCTGATCTGATTCAGCTCCTGCTGCTGCATCTAGAACACACACAGGGAACAGGCATAACACATACAACGCTCCTGTGCTTGAAGACTGAGACACTCAAAGAGTATGAGAAACACTACAATTCATTCGCATACAACATAATACACTAATGCTATACACACTCTGTATACAGCCACACAATCGCTCTCACCTCTTTGGCCTTCTGTTTGAGCCGAAGCTGCTCTGGGTCCTCTTGCCGCGATCGAGACTGGGGGAGGAAAGAGGCACGGATTCACGATCAACACTACTGGCACTTACAGTATATGACCACTAGATGGCACAAACCACTATGTAATATGGTTGAAGTTGCCCCTCCACATTTCTATGGTTAGCGTATCAATGCCTCTGGTGGCGAGTTAGTTACCTTAGCAGCCTTCATCAGGATCTCCCTCTCCTGCTCCTCCTTCCTCTGTTTCTCCATCTGATCCAGCTGTTCAAAGAACTTCAGCTGGGCTCGCACATCACTCACCTGTTCATACTTATCATCCTCCTGAAGGAGAGAGAGAGGGGTGGAGAGAGAAATAATGATTAAAAATATATTATCATGGGCATCAGACATTTATTTCAGCACTTTTTCGGTACTTTCTACCCCTTTTTCTCCCCAATTGGTAGTTACAGTCTTGTCCCATCGCTGCAACTCCCGTACGGACTCGGGAGAGGTGAAGGTCGAGAGCAATGCATCCTTCGAAACACGACCCTGCCAAGCCGCACTGCTTCTTGACACACTGCTCGCTTAACCCGGAAGCCAGCCGCACCAATGTGTACGGAAACACTGTACAGCTGGCGACCGAAGTCAGCGTGCATGCGCCCGGCCTGCCACAAGTAGTCGCTAGAGCACGATGGGACAAGGACATCCCGGCCGGCCAAACCCTCCCCTAACCCGGACGATGCTGGGCCAAATGTGTGCCGCCTCATGGGTCTCCCGGTCACAGCCTGGGATAGAACCCGGGTCTTTAGTGACGCCTCTAGCACTGCGATGCAGTGCCTTAGACCTCTGCGCCACTCGGGAGGCCCTTCAGCACTTTTTGAAGATGAAAGGCTAGGAACAACAAGGATGACAACCCAGTAGACAGAATAAAACATAGAACTTTAATAGCTCATTTAAGAACTCGTGAACCTCCTTCACGCCAACGCCAACACCCACAGAAGCTGTGTTCTCTCACCTTGAAGGTGATGTTTTTCTGCTGCGCCACCTCCGTCACTTTCTCCAGCAGGTTCTGCAGCCGCTGCTGTGTAGCATGGGAAACGTAGTTGATAACCTCTGGCCCCAGGTCAGTCACCCCAAACCTCCTACCTGTTACAACACAAGGGAACAGGAGATGTTAAGAGATTTTAGGTACAGAATGTGTGTGTGTGCATGAGTGCGTGTACAGTGCATTCGGAAAGTACTCAGACCCCTTGACTTTTTCCACATTTTGTTACGTTACAGCCTCATTCTAAAACGGATTACATTTTTAACAAATCCTCATCAATCTACACACAATACCCCATAATGACATAATACATTTTAGCAAATATATTAAAAATAACAAATAGAAATACCTTATTTACATAAGTATTCAGACCCTTTGCTATGAGACTCAAAATTGAGCACAGGTGCATCCTGTTTCCATTGATCATCCTTGAGATGTTTTTATAACTTAATTGGAGTTCACCTGTGGTACATTTAATTGATTGGACATGATTTGGAAAGGCACACACCTGTCTATATAAGGTCCCACAGTTGACAGTACATGTCAGAGAAAAAACCAAGCCATGAGGTCGAAGGAATTGTCCGTAGAGCTCCGAGACAGGATTGTGTCGAGGCACAGATCTGGGGAAGGGTACCAAAACATTTCTGCAGCATTGAAGGTCCCCAAGAACACAGTGGTCCCCATCATTCTTAAATGGAAGAAGTTTGGAACCACCAACACTCTTCCTAGAGCTGGCCGCCCGGCCAAACTTAGCAATCGGGGGAGAAAGGGCCTTGGTCAGGGAGGTGACCAAGAAGCCGATGGTCACACTGACAGAGCTCCATAGTTCCTCTGTGGAGATGGGAGAACCTTCCAGAAGGAAAACCATCTCTGCAGCACTCTACCAATCAGGCCTTTATGGTAGAGTGGCCAGACGGAAGCCACTCCTCAGTAAAAGGCACGTGACAGCCCACTTGGAGTTTGCCAAAAGGCACCTAAAGGACTCGCAGACCATGAGAAACAAGATTCTCTGGTCTGATGAAACCAAGATTGAACTCTTTGGCCTGAATGCCAAGCGTCACGTCTGAAGGAAACCTGGCACCATCCCTACGGTGAAGCACAGTGGTGGCAGCATCATGCTGTGGGGATGTTTTTCAGCAGCAGGGACTGGGAGACTAGTCAGGATGGAGGGAAAGATGAACGGAGCAAAGTACAGAGAGATCCTTGATGAAAACCTGCTCCAGAGCGCTCAGGACCTCAGACTGGGACGAAGTTTCACCTTCCAACAGAACAATGACCCAAAGCACAAAGCCAAGACAACGCAGGAGTAGCCTCTGAATGTCCTTAAGTGGCCCAGCCAGAGCCCGGACTTGAACCCTATCGAACATCTCTGGGGAGACCTGAAAATAGCTGTGCAGCGACGCTCCCCATCCAACCTGACAGCTTGAGAGGACCTGCAGAGAAGAATGGGAGAAACTCCCCAAATACAGGAGTGCCAAGCTTGTAGCGTCATACCCAAGAAGACTCTAGGCTGTAATCGCTGCCAAGGTGCTTCAACAAAGTCCTGAGTGAAGGGTCTGAATACTTATGCAAATGTAATATTTATACATTTTATTTATTTATACATTTGCAAACATTTCTAAAAACCTGTTTTTGCTTTGTCATTATTGGGTATTGTGTGTAGATTGATGAGAGAAAAAAAGGTTTTAATCAATTTTAGAATAAGGCTGTAACGTAATAAAATGTTGAAAAAGTCAAGGGGTCCGAATACTTTCCGAATGCACTGTATGTGGCGTGTATCTCACCGATCTCCTGTACTCTCCGGGTTAGTGAGGAGGTGTAGAGGAAGGCCTCGTCCTTACAGGAGCGGGTCACCGCGCCGACCAGCTCAGAGTTGGTTGCCAGGATACGGGCGCTCTCCTCTGACAGGTTGACTCCAGCCATGGAGGCCACGTCATTAATGTCATCATCATCCCTGGATGAGGGAGACAGGGAAAGAAGGGGAAAGGAGAGAAAGAGAAGGATAACTGTTTATAAGGACTCTTTTTCACTTTGTGCATGCATGTCTATGTGTGCGTGGCTTAGCTTACTTGAAGGTTCCTCCGCTTGCCTCCTTCAGCTTGTTCTTCTGTGCAACAGAGAGCATAGACTGGAGCCCCAGTGTTCCCTTGGCCCCTGATGCTAGAGCTTGTTTCACTACAGGAACTGAGATAAAGAGACAGAGAGACGGGGGAGGAAAGGAACAGTTAGATAACAGGCAGACACTACCTTTACACAGCCTCCTCAGCCTTTCATATTGTATAATTACACATCAATAAATAATTAACTTTTTCTTGGTATATTTGCTGTGAGCAGAAGAGAGAAGCTGAGATCAAGAGGAAGAGAGATGGTGGAAGAACACATTTCACAGATGTTTCCATACAGTCCAGTGAACGAACACACACACAGTTCTACTATCCTTGTGGGGGACCTAAAGTGTATTTCCATTCAAACTGATATTTTCCCCTAACCCTTACCTTAACCCAGGTGCGTCATGCACCCCAAAAATCTAAGGATGGCTCGGGGGTGGAAGTTGGAGAATTTTGCATTTTTCAAACTGCAATCTAGAGCCATAATCATTATGCTTAATTCGATGTTAAAAATTTGTTTCTTTTTCTGCATATCTAAGCATTTTTATTGAGCTGTCTGTATCTTACTGACTGGTGGTAATCTAAGTATATGCTTCTCTGCTAAAATCTGGGTAAAAGATAGAAAGGAATGTGAGTCTTATTCAGTACATTTAGTTATTGCTTGCTTTTCTAAAGTCTACCAACCTTACCAGCAGCCATGCCAGCTGAGATAGTTAGACAAGCTAGCTACTCTAATTTGATTAATAGCCTGAAATGGCTTCTTGGTAGCTAGTTATGAGGTTGGGAGATTGGTAACCTATCTGGGCTAGCTAAAGCCAACTTCGTAAAATTGCTAGGTGGCTAGTAGAATTTTAAAAAATGAAAAATGTTCCCCAACAATTTTAAAACGCCTCTGCCTTAACCCCAAACCCCTATTCTAAACCTAACCCCTATGCCTTAAGTAGCCTTTGTCATCGTGGGGACCTGAGAAATGTCCCCACGAGGGAGAATTTTCCTTGTGGGGACTTTTGAGGATTTCAGGTTCCCAGGAGGACAGTAATACAAGCACACCACACACACACAGATTACTACTGTCTCCACTAGCTAATAGCAGCCGGCAGAACACTTCTGTCTGATGCATTTTATCATCGACACTGCTCACTGCCATTGGTCACACTGAGCGTGTTTGCCCCAGAGACTCCCAGTGGAAAAATACCTAACACAGAAAAGCTCCAATCCTGCACAGTAGCCATATTATACAGTGATGGTATATGAAAGCACTAGGTTAATCTGAAATAAGATATAGGTATTAGTTATGTTATCCTTTGTATAAATTATATTTTTGTTCGAGAAATAGCTGACATTTTCATGTAGAAGTACACAAACACGCACATCAAACACAAAGGCATGACACAGTTAAGCAGACAATACAAACCTGTTTGTAGCTGTTTGACCACCTGCGGCTGTCCCATGATGCGACTGTGGGGCTGGCCTCGGAGAGTAACCATGGGCGCCTGGGCCAGAGTTACCTGAGGACTCGCCATCGCCCCCTGCTGCTGGGGCACCATCTACACACACACACAGAGAGCGCGAGAGAGAGAAAGAGAGGTATAAAACAGACGTATGCCTGATTCACATAATAGAGCAGACCTGAACCTTACTGTGCAGGCTCAGGTATTTATTTTTAACATTGTCCTTTCTAGCATGGTTCCAGCAATTATGGTGGATGGGTAACCAGGCCAGCCCAGTGCAGCTCAGCTTTGCCATGTAGTGTGAAACAGGTGATACACTTGGGGTCATCCTTCAACATAACATACAGTCATACAGACTTCATGTGACACGAAGACATCAAGGCCCCCTGCCAATACGATAGGGGAAACACTGAGTGGAGTATCATTAGGATATAGTATACCAGGCCAGGCTTGCTGTGAGGTGTCTGGGCCAGGCTGATGACAGGGGACTGGTGCAGGGTCCCCTTGGCCCCGGGGCTGGTGGTGCTGTTAAGAGGGGGTCTCTGTGCGGCGGCCGTGCCCCCCAGCACCACAGAAGTCAGGGCCGTGGAGGAGGAGGCAGGCTGGGCGCTGGCCTGGGGCAGCTGGCTCTGCTGGATGAAGGCTGTCGAGTCTGGGGTCATCTGACGCAGTGCAGGGAGACTCCTCTGGAGATGGGGAGGGAGAGCACAGGTCATTCCCTCATCTATATCGCATCTTCTGGCCACTTGTATTTGTTTGGGTTGCGAGTGTATAGCTAGCTACATCAGTCTCACCTTGAGGAAAGGCACAAGATATGGCTGAGGAGAGGAGTTGAGCTCCCGGTATAACCGACTGGTGAACTCCTCCGCTTCAATCTTACCCTCCTGCGGTGGTAGAAAAACACAGACATCAATGTAGAAAGACAGAGTGAGAAAAAGAGTAAGAGCGAGCGCAAGAGAGAGACAGAGAAACAGACACAGACGGCCAGACAGGCGTACCAACAGGCTCTTGACCAGGTCCTTGACGCTGGCCGTGGTCTCAGACGACTGCTTCCCGCTGGATGCCAGCTTGATCAGCGTTGAAAGGAAGTTCTTGCATTTCTTCACGTTCTCCAGGGTCTCCTACACACATACACATGAGTAAAAACCCTTGCATGACCATTTAGGAGTAGATAAATGCAGGAGGGAGGGAGTAGAGGAGTATTGTCTCACCGTAATGGTAGTGGGAGTTCCTGGTGTCCCAGTAGTTCCGGGAGTCCCTGCTCGCTGGGTGACTGCTGCTGCTGCCGAGCCAGGCTGCACTGGGGCCTGACTTGGGGTGGCAGCTGCCCCACCCAGCATAATGGTGTTCTACAGGAGATGGGACAAAGTGAGCAGGGGATGAAATAAGACTGAGGGGGGGGACTCCCAAAGAGGAGAGAAGAGGGGGATGAGGTGTGTATCTACCTGCTGTAGTACAGGAGGCCTCTGGAGGGTGGTGGTGGCCTGGACAGTGCTCTGAGCAGGGGAGCCCTGCTTAGTGACGGTGGTGGGGGTCACCTGACGGGCCATGAGGGGCATCCCTGGAGCCTACAGGAAAGAGGAAAGGACAAGGGTTCTGGGGCCGGTTGCACCAGTTGGTCTTAAAAATTATACCTGTTGCACCAGAAGGGTGTAGGCCTTCTACAGTGGGGAAAAAAAGTATTTAGTCAGCCACCAATTGTGCAAGTTCTCCCACTTAAAAAGATGAGAGAGGCCTGTAATTTTCATCATAGGTACACGTCAACTATGACAGACAAATTGAGAAAAAGAAATCCAGAAAATCACATTGTAGGATTTTTAATGAATTTATTTGCAAATTATGGTGGAAAATAAGTATTTGGTCACCTACAAACAATCAAGATTTCTGGCTCTCACAGACCTGTAACAACTTCTTTAAGAGGCTCCTCATTCCTCCACTCGTTACCTGTATTAATGGCACCTGTTTGAACTTGTTATCAGTATAAAAGACACCTGTCCACAACCTCAAACAGTCACACTCCAAACTCCACTATGGCCAAAACCAAAGAGCTGTCAAAGGACACCAGAAACAAATTTGTACACCTGCACCAGGCTGGGAAGACTGAATCTGCAATAGGTAAGCAGCTTGGTTTGAAGAAATCAACTGTGGGAGCAATTATTAGGAAATGGAAGACATACAAGACCACTGATAATCTCCCTCGATCTGGGGCTCCACGCAAGATCTCACCCCGTGGGGTCAAAATTATCACAAGAACGGTGAGCAAAAATCCCAAACCACACAGGGGGACCTAGTGAATGACCTGCAGAGAGCTGGGACCAAAGTAACAAAGCCTACCATCAGTAACACACTACGCCGCCAGGGACTCAAATCCTGCAGTGCAAGACGTGTCCCCCTGCTTAAGCCAGTACATGTCCAGGCCCGTCTGAAGTTTGCTAGAGTGCATTTGGATGATCCAGAAGAGGATTGGGAGAATGTCAGATGGTCAGATGAAACCAAAATAGAACTTTTTGATAAAAAAACTCAACTCGTCGTGTTTGGAGGACAAAGATTGCTGAGTTGCATCCAAAGAATACCATACCTACTGTGAAGCATGGGGGTGGAAACATCATGCTTTGGGGCTGTTTTTCTGCAAAGGGACCAGGACGACTGATCCGTGTAAAGGAAAGAATGAATGGGGCCATGTATCGTGAGATTTTGAGTGAAAACCTCCTTCCATCAGCAAGGGCATTGAAGATGAAACGTGGCTGGGTCTTTCAGCATGTCAATGATCCCAAACACACCGCCTGGGCAACGAAGGAGTGGCTTCGTAAGAAGCATTTCAAGGTTCTGGAATGGCCTAGCCAGTCTCCAGATCTCAACCCCATAGAAAATCTTTGGAGGGAGTTGAAAGTCCGTGTTGCCGAGCGACAGCCCCAAAACATCACTGCTCTAGAGGAGATCTGCATGGAGGAATGGGCCAAAATACCAGCATTAGTGTGTGAAAACCTTGAGAAGACTTACAGAAAACGTTTGACCTGTGTCATTGCCAACAAAGGGTATATAACAAAGTATTGAGAAACTTTTGTTATTGACCAAATACTTGTTTTCCACCATAATTTGCAAATAAATTCATTAAAAATCCTACAATGTGATTTTCTGGATTTTTTTTCCTCATTTTGTCTGGCATAGTTGACGTGTACCTATGATGAAAATTACAGGCCTCTCATCTTTTTAAGTGGGAGAACTTGCACAATTGGTGGCTGACTAAATACTTTTTTCCCCACTGTATGAGCTACGACTGGGAGTAGATTCTACGACTAGCAGGGCGCTAAATTGGGACTATCTTCATTCATGATATGCACAGAAAATAACAGCAATCTATATTTTCAAAATGATGCGAGTCTCGTGTTCATATTTCACAACCTACGCAGGCTTTTCATGTTGCCTATGCACAAGTCAATAGCTACATAATACACTTGATTTATGCTACATTAGAGCACGCTAAATGTGTCTGATCAGATATTAGCAAACGAATAGATGATCTGCCACCCCCACTTATTTGCCCAGACAGAAACCTATTAACCAAACATACAGACGGAGATTGAAACAAAATCATACTGATTGATTATCAGACAAGTCAAGGGCTTTTAGTCGGGAATAGCCTAGGCTACTACACAAGTAAAGAGCAGAATAATCCACCTGTTGTACGGCTACACAGCATAATAACAAAATATTATGACAACACTGTTAGACGAGCAAACTAGACTAAAGATTATCATCATGAACACTCAATTTGGCAAACATTTTCCCAGCCTAATTGTAACCAAATATCCAAATGGAGATTCCGTGAAAACAAAAATCTGACATTGATTGATTTATCAAGAGGAGTCCCCACGCTTGTCTCAAAGTGCCGCGACAACACTGTCCCAATCATTAAGGTGCTGAAATTATGGTTGACCACATATAGCTATTGCTTTAAAGTATTTAAAACGGTTGGACGACTTTGGGAGTTTCAGTAAGCAACAATATGATAAATGCCTTCTATGGCATTAGCCAACTTTATTCCAATATTTTAGTCATTCAGTGATATTCATTCCCACAGTAATTATTGATTACAGCCCCCCGTGTAGCTCAGTTGGTAGAGCATGGCGCTTGCAACGCCAGGGTTGTGGGTTCGATTCCCACGGGGGAGCAGTATGAAAATGTATGCACTCACTAACTGTAAATCGCTCTGGATAAGAGCGTCTGCTAAATGACTAAAAATGTTTTTATTTATTTATAATAATCCATCCAGTTGTGGTTAAGAAAACTTGCATGCATAGTGGTGGGCTTTGCGAAGTGATAGGACATGCCTCGCAAAGTTTATAACTGCCACTGTCGCTGCCTAGCAACCATCATCATGAATGCGCATTACTTAAGCCGGACTAGTCTTATTTTGGTTGGTGCAACAGGTGTAAATTCTGATCCCAAAGACGTAGCTATGCCCGACATAGCATTTAAATACAACTTTTTTACGCCCAATTGTTGCAAACGGCTCCAGGAGTTCACCTCTCTCTCTTTAATCCCTGTTTTTATTCAATCACACTGATCTCTCCATCCCTGGAGCTGAGACATGATTTACAGTTTCAGTGTGTGTGTGTACCTGTACAGAGGTGATCTGGACAGGGGGAGTGCTGGTGGGGGTGGCTGGCCGTGGGGTCATGGCGCTCTGGGACTGGGATTGAGCCTGCATCTGGGCCAGGGTCTGCTGGTGGATCATTAACAGCTGCCCACTCTCACTGCGCACCAACACCATCCCTGCACAGGGCAGAGGGCATGGAGGGGTCAAACAGGGGTCATAGATCAACAGACAGACTCGTTAAATACGTGACAATTGAATATCTTCTAAAGCGTTGTTTGCTTAGAAAATATATGGCCACTCTTAGCAGAAAAGTGATACAATAAAAAGTAATTGTCACTAAAACTCAACTATCAGCGGAGCGCTTAATGGTGGATAGCATTGTTAGACAGAAACTGTGAGACATGCAGTTCAAACAGAAAATGACACATGCTTGCAACTAGGTTACATGATGCACTACAGTGTCAGTGTGCCCCTTGATAGTGGGTCCATGTACAGTTGAAGTCAGAAGTTTACATACACATTTAAACTCTGTTTTTCACAATTCCTGACATTTAATCTTAGTAAAACTTCCCTGTCTTATGTCAGTTAGGATCACCACTTTATTTTAAGAATGTGAAATGTCAGAATAATAGTAGAGAGAATTATTTCTTTCAGCTTTTATTTCTTTCAACACATTCTCAGTGGGTCAGAAGTTTACATACACTTTAACTTGGGTCAAACATGTCAGGTAGCCTTCCACAAGCTTCCCACAATAAGTTTGGTGAATTTTGGCCCATTCCTCCTGACAGAGCTGGTGTAACTGAGTCAGGTTTGTAGGCCTCCTTGATCACACACGCTTTTTCAGTTCTGACCACAAATGTTCTATAGCATTGAGGTCAGGGCTTTGTGATGGCCACTCCAATACCTTGACATTGTTGTCCTTAAGCCATTATGCCACAACTTTGGAAGTATGCTTGGGGTCATTGTCCATTTGGAAGACCCATTTGTGACCAAGCTTGAACTTCCTGACTGATGTTTTGAGATGTTGCTTCAATATATCCACATAATTTTCCTTCCTCATGATGCCATCTATTTTGTGAAGTGCACCAGTCCCTCCTGCAGCAAAGCACCCCCACAGCATGATGCTGCCACCCCCGTGCTTCACGGTTGGGATGGTGTTCTTCGGCTTGCAAGCGTCCCCCTTTTTCCTCCAAACATAACGATGGTCAATATGGCCAAACAGTCCTATTTTTGTTTCATCAGACCAGAGGACATTTCTCCAAAAAGTACAATCTTTGTCCCCATGTGCAGTTGCAAACCGTAGTCTGGCTTTTTTATGGCGGTTTTGGAGCAGTGGCTTCTTCCTTGCTGAGCGGCCTTTCAAGTTATGTCGATATAGGACTTGTTTTACTGTGGATATAGATACTTTTGTACCTGTTTCCGCCAGCATCTTCACAGGGTCCTGTTGTTCTGGGATTGATTCGCACCAAAGTACATTCATCTCTAGGAGACAGAACGCGTCTCCTTCCTGAGCGGTATGACGGCTGCGTGGTCCATGGTGTTTATACTTGCGTACTATTGTTTGTACAGATGAACGTGGTACCTTCAGGCGTTTGGAAATTGCTCCCAAGGATGAACCAGACATGTGGAGGTCTACAATTTCTTTTCTGAGGTTTTGGCTGATTTCTTTTGATTTTCCCATGATGTCAAGCAAAGAGGCACTGAGTTTGAAGGTAGGCCTTGAAATACATCCACAGGTATACCTCCAATTCACTCAAATTATGTCAATTAGCCTATCAGAAGCTTCTAAAGGCATGACATCATTTTCTGGAATTTTCCAAGCTGTTTAAAGACACAGTCAATTTAGTGTATGTAAACTTCTGACCCACTGGAATTGTGATACAGTGAATTATAAGTGAAATAATCTGTCTGTAAACAATTGATAGAAAAATTACTTGTGTCATGCGCAAAGTAGATGTCCTAACCGACTTACCAAAACTATAGTTTTTTTAACAAGACATTTGTGGAGTGGTTGAAAAACTAGTTTTAATGACTCCAACCTAAGTGTATGTAAACTTCCGACTTCAACTGTACGTGTGCTATCAGGACCTCACAACAGGGAACAGCACAACACTAATCTGATTTTACAGGCAAAACAAGTACAGAATCAATAGAATGTTCCCACAGGTCACAGTGCGCTGGAGGAGCATGAACAATGGACAGCAAAACACATGCACAAGAGACTGGGATGGAGTACAGTATAGCAACTGGTCAGTTTGTATGATAAACAAACAAAAGGCTCATCTGTGTGCCACAGCGATGACAACTGTAGCTGACATGAGTTTACAAATGCTAGCCATAAATTTGCAACAAAGTTCATGTTCATCACATAGAGCCTTGAAACGCTGCCAGCAAGATGCATTGTATCCCTTCTCCACTCACTGTGGCTCACTGACATAATTGGCTACTGTAACACATGAAAACATGCTTAAATGAATCAGCTATGCAATATCAACTGAGAATAGAAAAGTTACCTGGGGGGAGCTGAATGTTTTGGATGTTTGGAGCATTCTGTTGGGGCTGCGGAAGTATTGGGGCCAACACCTGAGGCGCGATCGCCCTTATCCCACCAGGACTGGTAGCAATAGTCGATGGGATGGAGGTCCTTACATTTTGTAAAACCGGGCTTTTCCCTAAAGCTGCTGTCGTCGTCCCCGTCACCTGTGCTGTCGTTTGTATGATCGTTTTTGGCGTCTCCGACTTGTTGACTTGTGCTCCTGAACATGCAGGGTGGGCGACGTTGACAGTTGATGTCAGAAAGGTATTTCTCCCGCTCTGCGATGTGACTGTTCCGGGGGTTTGCATAGGCGGCCTCACGAGCGTGACAGTGGGCACACTGTTTAGAACAGACGGCTGAGACGATATTACAGTTGAAGTGACAGCGTTGTGCATTAGAGAGGTTTGAATGACAGTGCTGGAAGTTGAGGGTAAGATTACGTTTCCTTTGACCACGGAGCCTGGTCCGTTGTTGACAACCGTGACGGCGGGCACTGTGCTGCTTGCCGAGCTCACCAAATTATGAGAGTTTATTACAACGTTACTTCCATTTAAAGTTTGTACAACACCAGCCGCTCCAGTTTTTCCTATCCCTTCCCGGTGATCGGGAACCACTGTTAACACACCACCGGCTGTCCCCGTCTTACTCTGACTGTGTCCGGCTGTCATGCTCGAGCCCGCAGCCGTCGTTCCCGCCGCTATATCCATGGTGGACCTCGTACTATTAATGACACCCCCTTGGACGCTAGTCCCTACAGCAGAGGAAACATGAGAGAAAGGGAAATATCAAATATATATAAATTGAACATGTGTATAAGCAAGAGTTTTGTCAAATGGTGTGGCTAAAAGATACGCAAACAGGAAAAACTAAGGTGACAAAAATTTGCTAACCAGAGTCAGCAGCTAAAGCTATATTTTACGCGTTACCTGGTTTAGCAAGCTCTTGTGAAAGTCCCATTTTGCTGTCCTGGACATTGGAGTTGCCGATGTGATTTGCGGCAGCCTGTATCCTGACTGCAGAGTTTCCGCGACCCGATCCGGTGAGCTCAGACTCCAAAGATCCAACTAGATCACTAACTACTTTCTCGTCCACCTCAGTGTTGAAGAAAACATCATCCAGCAAATCCGAGCCCGCCGCCATCTTTACCCTGCTACGCTCGCTCGTGAGACGCATGCGCCGATTGGATACTCCGTCACTGACATCGGATTCCGGATGCTCTGATTGGTTATTGCTAGATTTAAAGCTTGGGATAAATGGTTTTAAATTGCATTTTGGAATGCCAGCCGGATGAGATAGCGCGGACGAAAAATTGGGACGACAGTACAGATAGGATTGCCAAATGGAAACTAACCACACGAGATGTTACCGATTGTACTTATTTTGATACATTGTAGAGCATTAATGTGATTTCTTTGCTCTTTTGAGTTTTTATTCTCGACTCAAAATGGCTGCGTTGTTTTTTCAGTTCTGTCCGACAACTGCTGTTACCACACGCACGAGGGCGCATATCATGCGCTTGCTGCTGACTGTCAAATAGAACTAGGCAGCCAGCTGCGTGCCCCGCTGTCTGTCACTGAGCTATGCAGGACAATAAAGACATATAATGTAATTTGTTTTACATTTCTGTATTCACGCGTTAGAGATTGAAGTTGTGCTATAGGCCTAGGGTGAATTCAGAAAGAGTGGGACTTTATCAGTGGTGTAGTGCTCTTTTTTAAGTGAGGGAGCGCAAAAAATATATAAATGACGTCATAATTTCCAAAATCAACGTATCATTATAGAGTATTCATTAAAAGACATCCTCCAATTGCAAAGTCTGCCTAAGCCCACACATATTGTCTAAAGAACATTGTATATTTGTAATACCCTCAAACACTACGTTAGGTATAGGCTACATAATTTCAAAATAGGCCATCATCACTCAATAGTGAATGATACACTATATATACAAAAGAATGTGGACACCACTTCAAATTAGTGGATTCAGCTATTTCAACCACACCGGTTGCTGACCGGTGTATAAAATCGAGCACACAGCTATGCAATCTCCATATACAAACATTGACAGTAGAATGCCCTTACTGAAGAGCTCAGTTACTTTCAACGTGACACCGTCATAGGATACCATCTTTCCAACAAGTCAGTTCGTCAAATTTCAGCCCTGCTAGAGCTGCCCCAGTCAACTGTAAGTGCTCTTATTGTGAAGTGGAAACGTCTAGGAGCAACACCGGCTCAGCCGGGAAGTGATAGGCCACACAAGCTCACAGAACGGGACCGCTGAAGCGCGTAGCGCGTAAAAATCATCTGTCCTCGGGTTGCAACACTCACTACCGAGTTCCAAACTGCCTCTGGAAGCAACATCAGCACAGTAACTGTTCGTTGTAAAGCTCGCCGCCATTGGACTCTGGAGCAGTGGAAACGCGTTCTTTGGAGTGATGAATCATGCTTCACCATCTGGCAGTCTGACGGACAAATCTGGTTTTGGCGGATACCAGGAGAAAACTACCTGCCCCAATGCATAGTGCCAACTGTAAAGTTTGGTGGAGGTGGAATAATTGTCTGGGGCTGTTTTTCATGGTTCGGGCTAGGCCCCTCAGTTCCAGTGAAGGGAAGTCTTAACGCTACAGCATACAATGACATTCTAGACGATTCTGTGCTTCCAACTTTGTGGCAACAGTTTGGTGAAGGCCCTTTCCTGTTTCAGCATGACAATGCCCCCGTGCACAAAGCGAGGTCCATACAGAAATGGTTTGTCGAGACTGGTGTGGAAGAACTTGACTGGAACGCACAGAGCCCTGACCTCAACCCCATCTAACAACTTTGGGATGACTTGGAACGCTGACTGCGAGCCAGGCCTAATCGGCCAACATCAGTGCCCGATCTCACTAATGCTCTTGTGGCTGAATGGAAGCAAGTACCCGCAGCAATGTTCCAACATCTAGTTGAAAGCCTTCCCAGAAGAGTGGGCTGTTATAGCAGCAAAGGGGGGACCAACTCCATATCAATGCCCATGATTTTGGAATGAGATGTTCAACAAGCAGGTGTTCACATACTTTTGGTCATGTAGTGTAATTCTTCACATCTCCATGCCAATCATTTGATTGATCGCAATCATTTTCATGGGGATATGCATTTAGATATTCATGAATTACTGTTTCGTGAGCGAATTAGAGCTGTTGGTGTTAACAAACTATTAGCCTTTATTGTATTTTGTTTGAATCAAAGCATATATCCTGCCAAGTGGCACACTGTTGCATTTTGGCGCATTAGACATTTGTATGACTATTCAGCTTCATCTAACCATCCTAAAATCTCATTAGAAATGAGGAGGTGTTTTTGGTGTAACAGTAGAGTTATAGGACTACTATGCTATGGTATTATATTCAGTTCTGTTATGTAAAATGCAAATGAATCATTATGTGATCTTGTGAGACATTGATTCAGCTTTGTTTTAACTTTACTAAAGGAGCACCATTGTGAGAAGTGATCATCTTCTATTTGGTATAATAATAATATGTGATGAGCCTGACTACACTGGCGGATTTACCATTAGGCACAAGAGGAAATTGCCTCAAATCATCAAGGGGCCTTATGAGCTGGGCATAAATAAATGCATAAAAATTAAACCAAATTAAAATAGTTTCTCCGCTTGAAGCCCCCCCATGCTCCGCTTAATAAGTAAATAATAAAAACATATCCATCAAAATCCGTCTGTTTAAACTAGAGATATCATTTTTTGCAAGGGCTGCTGTTTCAATCCATCACATCCACCGATATCGGCCTTCCGCATCTGCGGTGGAAGGTGGCTAAGCTACAGCGGTGCTTGTCAGACCAGGAGACATTCCGAAAATCAGTCTTCTCTTGAAAATATCTGTAGTGTCTGAACGGTTTGGGCTACACACTAATATACCCCTCTATGGAAAGATGAGACTCTCCATTTTGCTCTGTGACCCCCACAAGTCCAAATCATCTTGGCTCCTGGACCATGTCAGCGCATTTCAAGGCTGTTTTGAGACAATGACTTATCAGTGACCAAGGCCCTGCTCTGATAATCCCTACCATTGTATTGCTGAGTTGTCATATTGCTGCTGCAAATGTACAGTGTCCCAGGGGCGTTGGCAGTCATAATGTACGTAACATAATTTATGTCCCTCTAACTCCCCTGAATGCCTCTGCAACCCTACAGCTATTGTATGCAGTAATCATGCGCCTATGAACCTGAGTTATATTGTTAGCACTGAGGTGGTTTGCCCTAGTAGGAAGTCCACTGTGTGCAGCTCACCCTGCACTATATGCTCAAACATAAATATCACTGTCATGTCTAGCTCTGATAAGCATCCCAGTAAAGCAATAAAAACAATGAAGGATCGCAGAACATTTCTAAAAATAGCCTATATTAACATGAAACAAGGTTCATGAAATCGATAACTTGCTAGTAATCTCTGAAACTCACTTAGATCAATCATTTGATGATACAGTGGTAACAATACATGGTTTCAACATCTTCAGAAGAGACAGGAATGCCAATGGTGGAGGTGTTGCCGTGTATGTTCGGAGTCATATTCCTGTAAAGCTTAGAGAGGATCTCATGTAAAATGCTGTTGAAGTAATATGGCTACAGGTTCATCTGCCTCACCTAAATCACATTCTTGTGGGAAGCTGCTATAGACCACAAGTGCTAACAGTCAGTATCTGGATAATATGTGTGAAATGCTTGATAATGTATGTGATATCAACAGAGATGTACAGTGCATTCGGAAAGTATTCAGACCCATTGACTTTTTCCACATTTTGTTACATTACAGCCTTATTCTAACATGGATTAAATTACACACAATACCCCATAATGACAAAGCGAAAACAGATTTTTAGAAATGTTGGCAAATGTATTAAAAATTAAAAACAGAAATACCTTATTTACATACAGTTGAAGTCGGAAGTTTACATACGCCTTAGCCAAATACATTTAAACTCAGTTTTTCACAATTCCTGACATTTAATCCTAGTAAAAATTCCCTGTTTTAGGTCAGTTAGGATCACCACTTTATTTAAAGAATGTGAAATGTCAGAATAATAGTAGAGAGAATGATTTATTTCAGCTTTTATTTCTTTCATCACATTCCCAGTGGGTCAGAAGTTTACATACACTCAATTAGTATTTGGTAGCATTGCCTTTAAATTGTTTAACTTGGGTCAAACGTTTCGGGTAGACTTTCACAAGCTTCCCACAATAAATTGGGTGAATTTTGGCCCATTGCTCCTGACAGAGCTGGTGTAACTGAGTCAGGTTTGTAGGCCTCCTTGCTCACTCACGCTTTTTCAGTTCTGCCCACAGATTTTCTATAGGATTGAGGTCAGGGCTTTGTGATGGCCACTCCAATACCTTGACTTTGTTGTCCTTAAGCCATTTTGCCACAACTTTGGAAGTATGCTTGGGGTCATTGTCGATTTGTAAGACCCATTTGCGACCAAGCTTTAACTTCCTGACTGATGTCTTGAGATGTTGCTTCAATATATCCACATCATTTTCCTTCCTCATGATGCCATCTATTTTGTGAAGTGCACCAGTCCCTCCTGCAGCAAAGCACCCCCACAGCATGATGCTGCCACCCCCGTGCTTCACGGTTGGGATGGTGTTCTTAGGCTTGCAATTTTTCCCTTTTTCCTCCAAACATAACGATGGTCATTATGGCCAAACAGTTCTATTTTTGTCTCTGGAGAGACCTGAAAATAGCTGTGCAGCGACGCTCCCCATCCAACCTGACAGAGCTTGAGAGGATCTGCAGAGAAGAATGGGAGAAACTCCCCAAATACAGGTGTGCCAAGCTTGTAGCGTCATACCTAAGAAGACTCGAGGCTGTAATCGCTGGCAATGGTGCTTCAACAAAGTACTGAGTAAAGGGTCTGAATACTTATGTAAATGTGATATATCAGTTGTTGTTTCTTTAAGTATAAATTTGAACAATATCTAAAAACCTGTTTTTGTTTTGTCATTATTGGGTATTGTGTGTAGATTGATAAGGGGGAAAAAACTATTTAATCCATTTTAGAATAAGGCTTTAACGTAACTAAATGGGGAAAAAGTCAAGGGGTCTGAATACTCCGAATGTACTTTATATTTTATGGGTGACCTAAATATTGACTAGTTTTCATCAAGCTGCCCACTCAAGAAA